TAGGTGTAAGTGTCTGGTTGACTATAAACTAAGTGTTGGTGACTGGTGGACTATAAACTAGGTGTTTGAGATTGGTGGACTAAAAACTAGGTGTTAGTGATTGGTCGACTATATACGAGCCCTTAGTGACTGATTGAGAACGAAATAGTTCCCCGTGAATTGGTCTGAAATTATTTTGAATTTTGACAATATTCAACTGATATTGGCGGGTTTTAGCAAAAAGAAATAATACAATCGCTTTACCCTTATTCAAAAAAATATTTCGTTAATCATACATCATCACATTTACTTTTTATAATGATAGACACACTGTTTTGTAAACAGCAGAGCATGCGCTAATCAAACTGTCATTCCACACAGTTTTCTCGAGATAATAGTCTTTTAGAACTGTAAGTTTGATGGAAACCATGACTTAGAAAACACAGCCCGAGGAGAAGGCACGTGTATAAGAAACAAACTCGAGTGGTCGACATGCAGACAGATAAAATTCTATAATTCCTACAGTTCGGCATGTTTCTGCAGCATCCCACTGAGTTGTCAACTCGCGCAATCGCAGTGGCGTCAACAAGACAGCACTGCCCAATCACATGAGAGATTACGTATCTATTGAGAGTATTACACAGTAGCGTCTCAGTGATAACAATGGGTAAAAACTCGAGGCAGTACTGGCAGAGATGTGAGGCTTGCATCACAGATACAGCAGTAGTTCAAAGAAAGCTATCCTGCCCATAACACATTCTAATAGTCAGTCGATGATGAGCACGGGGACGATGATATCTGATGACGATGTTTCCGTCTCCCGTTATCTTGACCGTTATTGGGCGCTCATGTTCCCGCCGCCCGCCGTCATAACTGCTGCTGCTGCTGATACAATTATGGGATGTCTGGTACTACTTGGTTAGAGAATTATGGTTGAAATTGTTCTGTTATGATGTACAAAAGTGATGGGATTTTGGTGACGATACCGATGTTGACGACGACGACGACGACGATGACGATGAAGATGATGATGATGATGATGATGATGATGATGATGATGATGATGATGATGATGATGATGATGATGATGATGATGATGATGATGATGATGGTGATGATGATGACGACGATGATGATCATTATTGTCTAAAAGGAAAAGTTTTTGTCACCAGATGCATTTCGGGTTTGTTGTCAATGACTGTTTAAATATATTCAACAAGCAGCCACAAACTTTGTCATCAAATGGAATATTGTAATTTGTCATCATGTGGCAATTAAGTCTTTGACGTCAAAATTGAAAACACTTTTTTGTCATCACATGCCAACCACAGATTTGTCGTCAGCAATTGTCGACAAATTTTATGAACCAAAAATGTGTCATCAATTGTGAATTAGCATGTTTTCGTCGTGGAGACTTGTAAAAATGATAATAGTCCATCGATTTCTGACGTGATTGTGTCCCTTATATCAATGAAAATTGTTGTCAAATGTCAACAGAGACCTCGTCGTTAAATGTCAAAAATGTCTTGTTGCTATGTTAACCTCTAAACGGTCTGAGATACCGTATAGGTCAGTATGAGAAATATTGGCAAGCAATACTTAATTAAATACCTTTAGACCGCATTTTTTTTTTAAACCAATCAAACTCTATCGGGATTAAATAAAATAATTATCATGAAACACATTATCAATGCCTAGAAAAATCAGAAAACAAACGCTTGCATAAAATTTGCATTTCAGTCGTAACCTGACTTATTTATCCACCGCCATTATCAAGAGAAGATGCACTCTCCAATCCCGTGTATATAACACAATTTGAATAGCACTGATAACGGCTAGATCACAGAAGTACATATCCACAGGACACTAGTCGAGTATCCCAAAGAGAGGTTAGCTTCGTGAGACCGTGATTAAACATTTCAAAAAATAAAAACACTTGCCAAACCTAGAAATATTTCTATCCCCCCTCCACGTATTTTTTTAAAATTTTCATGGGCGATTAGATTAAGAAAATTTTGTCTTGAGAATAATTTGAATTTTATTTAGATCTGTCCGTTTAGAACTTTAGTTTTTAATTGATAAGCTATAACTTTGCAAGTTGGTCTATGGACACTCCCGTCGTCAACAAGAATCAAATATCGAATTCCGAAGACAATAAAATCCGACAGTCGCAGTATGACACCTCCTTGCCAATGCATGTAAATATTGGCCTTCTCCCCTCCACAGCCAAAACAATCAATGTCAATACCACCGATCATCTGCCGCATATGGTCTGCATTGTATCTGTACGTGACGCGGACTCGTCAGATAATGCATGTAGATCAATTTGTTTTAAATCAAGGGCGAAAAGTACACGTCACCTCGGCTGTATATGTGATTTACATGTACTTTTGTCACACCTCCGGTCATACCATGGGAGTTAAAATACAAGCACCGTAGTACGAACGGGAGAGATTGCCCCGAGGTAACACGATTACAACCTGTCCTCGACATCCATGGCTCTGTGCACGTGCTGAGTGGATAGGTTGATAAAAATGGTTAACACACTGTTTTCTTTTAATTGCAGTTATTGCATGCGAAGATATTTCTACCTTTGTATTGAAAAAAAACCTACGAAAGAGCATTAGAAGAATTAGAATTATGAAACATTTAATTATACTTATTTTGATGTCGGTACATATGTTAGTAGATATAGACGTTGTTGATATGTAATATACACAAAAATTATACCGATCACTGTTAGAAAATCGGTACCGTCTACGACAATGTCTTATAAGGGGTGTTTTAATACCGGGGTAAACTGTCAGTTTCAGAATATGGAGTTTCCTGATTGGAAAGGGTGGGATGTGGGTTTGGGGTACAGTATAGATGTCAGAATATGGAGTTATCTGGGTTGAGAGGTTACTACTAATGTCAAAACATAGAGGCCGTAATAACTGAGGAACGATTTTAATGTCGGAATAAAGAGGTGTCTAACTGCAGTATACACGGTCAATGTCATCATAAAGCGGGTTCTATTTGCAGAGGCATCAATATATCGGCACAGTGCAGAACCTGTAAATGTGACATCGGATAAACTGAACAACCTTTATTTGAACAAACATCGTTTATATCAGAACTTTGTTTTAGGTCACCTGAGCTTTAGCTTAAGTGGCCTATTGCTATCAGTCTTCGTCCGTCGTTGTCCGTCGTGCTTCGTCCGTTAACATGTTACATTTTCAACTTAAGCTGAAATACAGGCAAAGGGATTTCATTATTATTTCATGGGAAGGTTACGACTCATGGTCCTGACAAAGTGTTGTTATTTTTCGGGTCGATCAGAAATACAATTTGGCTGCCACGGCCGCTATTTTGAAAATAACTATTTCAAACTTTAAAACAAACTAATAGGCCGATTTAACTGAAACTCGGTCTAGGAATGATCAGCTCATGGTCCTGAAAAACTTAAGTTAACGTTATACTTAATTATTTTTTACTCAAATTGGTACATATTTCAACAACAAAAATAAATACTGTAGGACTCAGGTGACCGTTAAGGCCCATGGGCCTCTTGTTTAATTTAAGATTTAATAATTAAGATATATGTGTAATGTATTGCCACTTTAGCATAGAAATAGTTTTAGCACCTTTTCAGTTTAAAAAAACAACGCCTAATTGACATTTAAATTTGGTCATAAGTTATCGGTCTTGTTTTCTTTCACTGGATACGTAACAGTATATGATGTCACGCCCACTTGAACAACTAACTATCCGTTCCCCAGAGAACGTCATGCGTGTCAGTGATCCGGTGTAAATAATATCGCCCGTGTACTTGTTAACGCCATTTACAGGGGACTTACAGTGCCAAGTTGTTGTAGGGACGGACGGGTTACATATTTTTTTCTAATTAATTTCGATGATAAAAACGAGTTCATTGAGTAGGTATATATGCAGATCGTAATGCAGATAATTTCTTGGTACCCAAATATAACTTCATTCCTTTAACAAGGTTAGTGGAGAGAGCAAAAAAATAGGTGATTTCCAAAGTTAAATACAGATAAAATGAATAATCTAAGTGTTGTCATTGGCATGTAATATTGTAGATGCTATGATACAGGATATTTTTGGGACACACCCTGACATTTTGTCAAGTTGTGATGTAATTTAAAAGTCATCGTAAAAATTTAACTTGGTATTTACGTAAATTCGAAAGAAGATACATGTACTAGGGTAGTACGGTCTTATCCTAGTAAACACACAAGGTACCACGTACACAAGCTGTCACTGTTGAGTCAAACATTGTATTAGTACATAACCCGGGACCTGGTGAGAATCCGTTACAGGATTAACATGGAAAAAAATGAAGAGCTTACATAATAGTATAATGACATAATATCGGTAGGTCAGATACATTGTTTGTCTGGGTTCTTTGATAATAAAAAAGGATGCCATAGAAAATATCTAATACTAATTTCACAGCTCCTGAGTCTTAACCCCCCCCCCCCCCCCACAAACAAACAAAATTAAAAACATGAGCACAAAGGCGCCATTAGTGCTATGTCAAGTCATTTTTCTCATAGTGGCCATATCAATTATTAAAGGAAAAGTCCCATTTCACATATTTTCATAATCCATCTTTAAAACACAATATTTGAATATATTCCCTGTACAAGACTTGATTCTTGAATGGAATCCAAGTACGTCTGCTGACAGAATTTACTGCTAGTATAATCACGGAATTAGATTATCTTAGTCCGTGGTATAATCATCCTATAGATTACATGGTTGGTATAATTCTGTGAGTTTGTAATAAACAATAAATTATTCGTTCCGGAAAACACAAGTTCATTATGAACACGAAGCTGATTTAATTACATCATACTTCAATTAAATGAAAAACTTTAGTCGACCACGTGGTCGTGTTTACTAATTCATATCTCGCGCCAATTACGAACAAAGCGGACATTCTGATTGGTTACATATAAATGACATCGCATGTAAACAAACCGCAGCAGTCGAGCACATGGCTCATGGCGAGGGAAGCGATCAGTCGCGTCAGAGAAGCACAGTGCGGCGTGACAAGTGAAGAACAGAACACGATATCATCCTACAGGATTTAGTATCCCGATAAAATACTGTCAAGGATATATATTCACGCAAGAGGCCTGAAAACAGCACTTTAGTTGAACCAGCCTTTCCACGACGGTGTCCGCCATCGGTCGTAAATCGGTTACTTGATTGGTCTAGAAAATATTCGGCTGGATATATTAATGTGCCTATTTTAATATAGAATTATATATCATTAAATAATATTCATTCCACTCATAGCTACTACATGAGTTTATTTAAGGAATCATTTATTGTGCTATGAATTTTGGTAGCTGGATACAAGTCGGTGTGTTATGGACTATTTTTGTAAGCGGAGTGAGAAAAGTCGTGTGCCGGTGTGCAATGCGGTTACTTTGATAGCATCGTAAGCTCATTGACAGTTTACAAGTTCGAGTTGAGGTGTGAAAAGGATGCACTCAATGTGATGTTTCAGTTTTTTATATGGACTTAATCAATCGCCATGGATGATAAAACAAAGGACGCTTTATCACTTTTAACCTTTTTATGTTATGGTAAGTTTTCATTTTCTTTGCAACTTCTTTTGAAGCGAAACTTGACATTTGAGAGAGCACGAACAGGTCTCTGATCATGTCATTCCTGAGTACATTGGATACCCCGTCTGCCCCTTTAATATTAAAGGACAGACGATGTACTGTTTCATTTGTAACACCAAATCTTAGTTCTAACTGTCACGAATCGTGTAGTGTAAACCAATGTCAATAAATGTCATACTTCTCATTTATTCTGCACACTTGGAGGTAATACTATGATGGGCGCACTAGGAACGATAGAGGTTGAAAGATTCAAAAGAAATAATTAAAACTGTTTCATAATTACTCATTATTCTCGGATATATTTTACTAAATTTTGTGTAATATACACGTATTAATTACTTGATAATCGCATTAAACCGTAAGTAGATATTAAACTAAACAACTAAAATTATTGAATTTCAAACTTGAGATGACCAAACATACCGGTTAAACATGAAAACATTCCAATGGGTAATGTGAAATCCATGCGTCTAGGCTTTGAAGTTGTTTACCTTATTTCTGTTACGTTAATGTAATACTTTTAGGTTAAACGTTGGGTAATTCATAAAGTTGTAACAGAAGTACTAATTGGTTGCTGTATATAATTACCTCTAATTGTCAGGGTAAAATGATACTCAACGATTTAACTTGACGTCTGACCCATTGTTTGTTTAAGAGATTTAACTGAAAGAAAGAACAAATTCCGAATAGATTTGAAATAAAGGAATACAAAGTGGGTGGCTCTGGGTAATCCTCATAATGCTAAAGCTGATAATGTGAGGTAGGAAAATTGATACGGGATATGTTAATTTTACGAGTTTAAAATCTTTATTACACGTTTTTCTAGAGTCATTCTATATAGGAGTTTTAATGTTTTATGCCATTTTCTCATCATTGTATAGAAACACGGTAAACTTGTTCTGAATATAGCAGTTTAAAATTGATCTTTTGAAATATTATGGTACCCAGTACATTCATTGTACATCTGGCTACAGTTTCCTGAAACAAACAAATATATCTCTGATGTTGGAACAATCACATAGACACATATATAGCGCGAAATGTGACTTGTCATAAGATGCAAAACAAAGATAGCGGCTATAAATAAAAGTCTCAGGAACTTTCCATTCAAGGTTTTTTGTTTGGAATGTATTCATTTTTTTATGTGCCTTGCCTGTAGATGTCAAAGTTACATGTTACTGTGTACATGTGGGTTATAAATCTACGTTTCTCTGAAACAAAAACACATGAAAACCGCCCTTCCAAGGCTTGCACATGAATTTTTGGAACTGCAGCTAAATCAAAATTCTGGTGAGAGATTTGAAATCGAAAACAAATCTAATCTTGTATCTTGAATAAGATAATAGCCTGTTTGGAAAATGAGATTTGCAGAGCTTGGAGCACATATATATACAAGCTGCAATGACACACGAACGTTTCTCTGTAGGAGTAATACTATGGCTGTCGGTTCTGTCTAGTACTCAAGGTTTGCATGGGAAAGGTGGGGAGGGGGCAGAATTTGTGGGGGAGGGGGTCCAAAATTGAGGGGTCAGATAAACTCAAGTTAATTAACAAATCAGTGTAAACATTGATAATGCTATTTCTTTTGGCCAGCTTAGCTGTTGGAAGTCAAGGAAAATCTGTATACTGTTATCAGGACAGTATATTGAATTTCACTTTTAAGCTGCTGGGGATAATTTGGAGATGGGCATGTATGACTGATTAGAGCTAGCTGTAATTAGTCGTGGTAAACAAGCTACAGCGTACATTTCCTGTTTAGTTTTTGTTGAGATACAAATACAAGTGAAAAAAATGTCTGAGAAAATCTGAGAATATAAAGTAAATGTCTCATTTATTTTACTTGACATGAGATCTCATATTTAACTTTATTTAAAACATTGACTGAAATATCATTCAAGAGAAGTGTTGCATATTAAGTTTATTGCAATCAAAAAATATATTGCTTGATCTCTCTCATTTGTAAAATTTTGTAATAAAAGGTTTTATTTATCATGAAATGAACTACATTTTAGGATGGCTCACATTCAGATATATCAAAGATGCATATCAGTACAAGTTTTATCAAAAGATATTGTTAATAGATCAGATTTTGTTCATGAAAATTATTTACTACTGTTTGCATTTATTTGAATTTTAATTCATTCTAATTTATTAACAATGTGCCATAATTGTAAATCTACTTGTATTAAGGATTAACGCACATTATAATAATGTATGCATGACAGAAGTGCAATTTTATGTAATCATATTATATTGGTTATAAAACGCATGAACAGAACGTAGGATTATTTAGAGATCATACAATTTTTTAGACAAAAATATAACATTTAGAAATTTAACGGTTGTTAAAACTTTTGATATATACCGCAGTAATGCTATGTACACATACAATTTTCTGTAAACTGTGTGATACAGCTATTTGTACAAAGTACAGATATTCTAGAAGTCATATAAACATCCTTCACTGCTTAATTTCTATACGATATTTCTGTTCAATGTATTTAAGTATTATGTGAATATGTTTACTTTTGCATCGTCAAGTGGCTCACGACCCCCTCCCTTCCCATGTTGTATGATTGTACATGTCTAGAGCATGATATTTATATTCATACCAGATGTTTATAGGAACGTTTGCTCCTGTGATTCGCAAAATTTTGAGAGAAAGAAGCACATCTTGTGTGTGTAATCAGGGCCATGTGTAATATGGCAGAATGCATTCATTGTTTAACCATTTTAAATAATGTGAAATGTGTGCATGGAATATTTTGAAGATTATTTTGTATATATCACATGCTGTGATGTCAATGTACTTGTAAAATGTAATTAACAACACTGAAACAAACAAGAAAATTACCCAGACCCCATAGATTCTGTTGGTTCTAATTACTTTACATATAATTCTTTCTGCATGGAAAATGTGTAAACCGCAGCAAGTAATCTAACTTTTCGTACAAAATATAGCCATTTAGGTAGACTTTTTAAAAAGATTTGGAAAGAGTATTTCTGTAATTAATTATATAGTTAAAAATATTTTGTGGAAAAAAATGAAAGGAAAAGTCATTCATTGTTTGGTGGTAATTGGTAATGAAAAAGATTATTTGATTTGGATTTTGAAAAAGATTAAAACTGGTTTCATATTTATAACAAGCTTAGGTTTCTTCATTCTCAAAAGTGTCAGCTGTCTTTGTTTATAAGTGATAAACAGGAAGCAATTAGCACCATATTTATAGGTATATCTTAATCTGAGCTAATCCTGACACAGAAAATACAATAAACTTTCACTTGTAAGTAATAAAGATTACCTGGAGATAATGGTTAGTATGTAGTATACCTGGAGGTCAACACAGATGGACATTTGACCATACAAATAGACTTTGTCACTCTGCATGACTGATGTCTGTACTGATAATATAAACACCCAGTCACAAGGCCAGCAGAATGGCTTGTAATATAAAGGGCTATAGGGCCTTCCTGCTGGCCCCTAAAGTGGCCCAGTGTCCTGGGCAGGTGTCACCACGAATGTTTGACAATATCCTAATGAGATCTCCAGGTGCTAACTGGTTTCTGGGCTGTGGTGGATTGAGTTTAGTGTTTATATGTCCGTTTGAAGAGGGTGTCGGCCACACTTCACATGTCAAAGATTAGTTTTAGGGAAGAAAGACTCAAGAGGTGGGGTTCTATCTGTGCTATAATCTTATTCACACAAACAACTCCAGCTCTTTTGGACAAAATCTAAACATTTATAAAAAAAAATGTCAACTTTCATGCTTATCATATAATAAGTACATACCATGTACTTACATGTATCATAGTGTTGGTTTGAAGGACATTGCAAAGTAAACAGATTAGCAATGCTATGATGCATAAAACAAGCACAGGGGTGAACTAGTAGACAAAATAATTAACTTGTTATATGCTTGTATATATATATATATATACCGGTAGTAACTCAATGAGCACAAGGCAAGACTGATGGAAGGGGATTTATAATATAATAAGTGGATGTTGGCAATTGCACAGAGAAGCATATATACTTTCTGGGTTGATACAAATGTCTTTATCTATAAAATAGAGATAAGGCCACTATTGTACAATCATAGACCTCAGATGAGGTCAATGCATGCTTCTATAAACCTGATAAAAATAATGAAATATTAATCTCAGCCAAAATCATTTGGAAAGAAGACAACTTTTGACTGGTACATGTATTTGCATCTACCTATACTTCTATAGTGAGAAGTTTGTCTGGAACAAATAGAATCAAACAAGATTTAAGATCTGTAAAATGAAGTCTTTATTAGCAATGAGTCATTATATGATGATATACATTGTATGTTTGAAAAACTGATAATATGCAATATCATATAAATGTACATGTTCATGATATTAATGGGCGGAACAGGTACATTAATCAGAATCCAAAATTAAATGTTGGTAGTTTGATCATAATTTAAATGTTGGTAGTTTGATCATAATTTAACTGTTGGTAGTTTGATCATAATTTAACTGTTAAGCTTAAAATCCTGGTCTATCAATAATGTAGCTATAGCCAAGTTGTACTTCCCTCATACAATGTTTCCATTGGTTTCTACACTTGGTTAAGTATACAAAAAGGTAATGAGTTAGTGATAAATTGTTACTGTACATGGTATATAGCTGACCAGCCATCAGGGGAATGAAATACAGTTTATCAGGGTGTGATAATTAGGGCCTTCAGTAGACAGTATTGATATACTGATTGAAGTTTGGATACTTGTTAAAACTGAATGATTGAACATCAATACACAAACAGTGATTATTATGACCACACTTCTTACCTATCTGATGGACCATGCTGAGCCTTCTGACTTGAAAACTGTTACAGCTGAATAGATTGCAAAAAAAGAAGGTACACATTACCTCATTTTTTAAAAGGTTGTGAAGGTTGTGGTCAGGGAAATGCTTTTTGTAAATAGTAC